AAATATTCAATTAATAAAATATTAATGCATGTCAAGAAATGTTATCTCATTGAATTCGTATTTGAACATAGTTTTCAAAAATATAATGTTTGGTAATATGCGTGAACATTTTATTAGTTTAATCTATGGTCAAAATTTAACACGAAATATAATAATGATCAATAAACCCGGACGGGGTTAGTAGTTTGCTATCAGGACATGACAGAGGACGGTTATGCATGTGGCGAATTGGCGACCGATCACTTTGCTACCGGGTATCGAGTATGGACAAGAGAGATATCGCCAGTAAAAACGCGGGGAGAGCCATGTATAGTCAGAGCGCACTAGAGCACGCCGCGGTAAAAATGGGGGGAAAGCTCGGATCTCATCCGCAATCTTATCCGGGCCACGCTCACGGTGACAGGTGCACGCCACTTAGCAAGCAGGACTGCAGGATGTTCCCCCTCGATCGATCGATGGAGAAGTGGATATTTTGCTTATTTCTTTGTCGATTCCCGCGGGTATTGAACTATCGATCGGTCGACTTTGTTAGGTCGGACCAGACATGGCGGTTAAACGAGCTTGATTAATTAGCCAAGTGTGTGGTTGTGTGAATGACCGGCTGGGCGTAACTAAGCAATGATCAATTGGGCTGTAATGGTTGCAACCATGCCGTACGTTGCTTTTCCAGGCACCTCCACTTTCACCGACTATGTTGCTACTACATGCGTACGACCAATACTAGCGTGACAGCGTTTAACCTCAACTGAAGGCGCACTAGATGATTCTGCTGACATGTAGGAGTACTACACATCTTTTTTTTTTAGAAATTCTTCATTCAAATTACGAATCAGTACAAAGTAGTTGACTCTTACAAGCACACTGAAACGCAAACACAAAGGACCATGAACACCTAGAGTATCCTAAGACAACTATAACACAAGAAGATCTCCGGAGCCCTGTGTCATCATCCCTAAATCTTGAGAGAAGACCCCTGCAGCAGAAGGATCTGCAACCAGTCGCAAACAGGTCACATCTTCGACCACGGTATAATTGCCGCCACGCTGCTTCCTCCTTTCTTGACACCATCACTGAGAGGGCATGGACATCAATCCAACACACCTGCAACAGTCGTCGCCATCTTTGGCTTTGAGTACCGCGAAAAGTGTCCCTTCTGAAAGGAAGAGAACTCGAGTCATCCGACCGGTCCAGCACTGCGGCCGGGCCATCTGCCCGGACAAAGCAGGATCTCCCACCAGCATCAGCGCGGAGGAAGGAGAAGAACAACAGCAACAAATCATACCAATAAGGAAGAAGAAAGGTCTTCGTCTTCCTGCATCCATCGCCCATCTGAGGATCCAAAAGGCCAATGCCGATGGACCTCCAACCACCATAGCCCGCGACCTCGACGAGATCCGGGGATCCCCAACACCGCTGGCTCCTAGACGAAGGCAAAAGCCTCGCCTGACCGCGAACGGAGCCCGGAGAAACTTATTCCGACGCGACACCACCGCAACGGCCTCGTCAGCGTCTGCCTCAACCCTAACCCTACCACACGCCCACCTAAAGAACAGACCCGGGGTTCCCCCTCCCTCCCGCCGCCGGAGCGGCCGACAGAGAGAAAGGGAACCGGCGGCGTCACCGGCGGCGCGCAAGGGATCCCGGTCGCCTCCTCCAATCGCCTGATGCGATCCTGGCGGAACGGCGCCGTTCCCTGATGCGATCCTGAAGGAGTACTACACATCTTGCAGTTACCAAAAGCAGTACCGCTGAGTGGCGTCGTTCCACACGTCGTACGAGGAGGCTTCCACTTCAACACAGCAACAAGAAAAGAACAGTTTAGTAGCAGTACGTACGAGGAGGCTAAGTTAGGCCGCAGATCTGCTGATTAGTTGCCTCGTCTTTCTACGATGCATGCTTTGCTAGATAATATACTATAATTAAGTAGCCAAAGATCATGTGGCTCTCCGTGCCTATGCATGTCTTCTGCCTGAGGTCAGTCGTTCAAGACATTGTGGTTGTCAGACCATCCGAGGTCATTTTCAAGCTTAAGCAACCGCGTCGATGCACTTTTAAATTCCCTTCCTGGTGGCTGTCAATTTTTTCAAGACATGGGGACACTACACGGTCCAGATTTACCTATGCGGTAAAAAAGAACCAATTTGAGTAGTAAAAGGATATATTTTTCTGAAGGGCAACTATCGGGCAAAATCACAAATTCTGTACCACTACTGATAGACGTCAATTTGCCCTAAAATTATCGGTGATGATAACTTCCGAACGTTCGGGAGTTAAGCATGGCAACCCGAACAAGTTTAGATGTCAAGTTTAGTTTGCGGGAGATTAGGGAAATATGGCAATTTTCTGAAAAAAAATAAAAAAGGACAAAGTTGTCATCCTCTATCAACTAAAGTTGCCATCCCATATGAACTAAAGTTGCCATGTAAAAATGTTCGGGGTGAAATGCTCAAAATCCGAACGTTCGGGAGTTATTGGATTCCAAAATTATACTACTACCACCCTCCCTCCGTTTCTGAATATTGCCTGTTTTCAAAGTTTAAACTGAACCATCAAAACATCTTATATTAAGGAACGGAGGAAGTACTATCTGCCAAAGCGGTTTATATATTTAAAAACAAAGATAGTACAGGTCATGATCCGGACAATCCATATTGTCTTTACTGCTCCCTGTAAGCAAATGGAGTATCTCCCCGCTCTCTGTTTTTGAGCGGAACGATACGAAGCAAAGGAATAAGAGCAACTCGAACGCGCCGATCCAAGCGGACGCGTTTTATCCGCTTTTCATCCGTTTTGGTCGGCCAGGCAGACGTACGCGTCCGCTTTTCAGACCCAACGTCGGCGAAACAGATTTAATCAAGCATAATTATACATAAATGGCATGTCAACCGCCCATCAAAGTCTACTTAAACATTAAAAAAACTCTAATAAACGCCCGCACACTGCTCTAGTAGACCGCCTTGCCCTTGCCCTTGCCCTTGCCATCGTCGTCGCCACTGGTTAGGTCGATGAAGACAGGAGGCGGTCCAGCCCAACCGATCGCGGCTTGATATGCCGCCAAAGCAGCATCCTCCGACGTCTGCTGCAGCGGCGGCATAGCGGCGAGGCGGGTGCACTCCTCCTCCTCAGGCTGCAGAGCCTCCTCGTCGCGGCGGAGCTACTCCTCCCGGTGCATCGGGCGCTCGCCGTCGCCCTCCTCCTCGGAGAACGATGCGCCTTCCAGCACTCAAGGTGAGTCTCTTCCTCTTCCGGCGTGGAGGCGTAGTAGCAGGAAGGCACGCTCACCCACTCGTCGAGCTCGCCGGTCCACGAACAGGACTCCTCGGGCCAAGTGGGGGCCGGCGGTGACCACGTGGGCATTGGCTCACGCTCCGGCTCAGTCTTGAGCTCGACGAGGGGCGGTGGCGGCACGAACAGGGGCGCGTGGTCGGAGTCCCCCGCCGCGAACAAAGCAAGGGTGTGCTCCAACACATTCCAATGGGCGTCCTCCTCGAGCCAGCTCGCCTCCAACGTGTGCTCCAGGGCCTCCTCGAGGGCATCTTGGTACTCCGCCTTGGACTTATCTTCCTCCGGCTTTACCTAGGGGAGGGGAGGGGTGGTGGAACGTCGTGGTCGATGTAGACGCTGTGCCGGTCCTCCTTCTCGTGCTCTAGCGCAAACCAGCGCTCCCAGGTGGGGGAGTCTGGCGCGCTGCTCCGCGCTTAAGGAGCTCGCGCTGCCGGGAAACCTCCTTCAGGTGCGCCCACGCGGACTGCGGTGCCGTCGGGATGGGGATGCACTGCGGGTCCACATGCCAGTCGTGCGGCAAGTTGACATCCGGGTACTGTAGGGGCTGGCGGTACCCCCAGTGCCACCGCGCCAGGTGGACTGGGATGTACAGTCGCTCTCGCTCCCGCGGTGGCGTGCCGCTTCTAACCGGCGGCGGTAGAGGGGGGGAGGGAAGAGCTCGCGCTGGCGCTGAACCTCCCCTTCCTCCCTCCCTTCCCGCTGAAGATGCCCATGGCTCTGCTAGGGTTTCGGGCTAGCTGGCTGGCTAGGGTTTTGTGGTCGCCGGCGGGGGAGCAAAGATGACTAGATGTGGACGGATAGTGGATGAGGCCAGCTCCGCCATACGCGTCCATTAAAAAGGACGGGCACGCGGCCCTTCCACACACTGCCAGACGGGACCTCGGTAGGTAGCTGCGTTAATTACGACTGCTCAGGGTTGTTGGTCGACCGATATATGGGGCTGCGATGGACATCGAGAGGACGCGCGATGCTTCGTGTTTGGGCCGACGCAGTTCAGGCCCAAATTTGAGCCGGAAATATGGCGGTGCGGACACGAACGAAATGGATCGCCCGGTTGGAGTAATCTCTTTGGCACACGCATTGCAAAAGTTAGGTCAAAACTTCAGCAACCAACTTGAAGAATGTGGCTAAGCTAGCTGCCACTTTGTAAACACCACTAGGTGAGGAGATGGCTAAGCTAGCTGCCACTTTCTGCACGCCACTTCGAGCTGACTACTACGGCTAGCTAGAAGCTAATTAGCTGCGTGTTGTCCAATTTGGTTAGCCACAGAAATTAGTGGTTAATTATCGAAAACATATACCGAGCCGCTCATTCTCTGCTCCCCTCTGCTTCTCCCACTGAAAATTCCTTGAGTGCGCAGAGAGGAATATTAGCTGGAAATGGAATCCCTCCGTCCAGAGGAAAGGAGCAAAGAAACCGAAAGCGAACGGAGCACGACTTTTGAAGCACCCGGCACACCCTGTGCATGCTTGATGCTTTGCGTCTTCGATTCTTTTCCCGCCAAAGAAGCAACTCGCGCGGACTCGATCGATCATACAGCACCGTCGTACTACAGTACAGTACATTGCACTCTTTCTCCGATCCCCTCTCCCTCTCTATACAAAGCATAGCCGACTAGCCGTGGTGACGGTGCACGCGTCGACGCAACAATAGCTGCTACGTACGTCGGTGGCAGAAAGTATATACGCCGCGCGCAGCTACGGTGGGCACCGCGATGCCGGCGACGACGGGGAGCGCCAGGCGGGTGGCCGTGCTCCGCTGCATCGTGGCCGCGCTGGTCGTCACCGTGCTCCTCGCCGGCCTCGTCGTCCTCGTCTTCTGGCTCGTCGTCCGCCCCAAGCCCATCGAGTACAGCGTCGCGCGTGCCGCCGTGCGGCACTTCAACGTCACGTCGCCGCCCGGCGGCGGCGGCGGCGCCACGCTCAACGCCTCCTTCTACCTCACCCTCGCGGCCGACAACCCGAACCGGCGCGTGTCCATGCGCTACAGGTCGGTCGCCGTCTACGTGCACTACGGCGCGGGCGAGGTGGCGCCTCAGCTGGCGGTCGCCGACGTGCCGGACTTCCACCAGCCCAGCAGGAACGAGACGCGGCTCGAGGTGCGCGCCGTGGCGCGGTCGGCGCCGGTGCCCGACTGGACCGCGCGGGAGCTCGAGCACGACCGCTCCGACGGCGAGGTGGGCGTGGAGGTGCGCGTCACCGCGATCGTCCATTTCCTGGTTGGCGGCGTCAAGTCCAGGCACTACAACATGCGGGCGGTCTGCTCCCCGGTGGTCATCGGCTTGTCGCCGTCGTCGGCAAAATCCTTCCGGGGCGTGCCGTGCGACGTTGCAATTTCGTGAGACAGACGTGTACATGCATGGCGTGCGTGTAATTAACTACAGTAGTAGCTACTGTGGTGTACTGCAGGGTGTTGGTTCATACTGTGTGATGCTCTTAATTCTTTGTTTTTGAGATGGCTCATCATTCATGCTGAATGGTGTGATGCTCTTAATTCTGGTTTGTCATGTTTGTAATATACTATCCCATGCTTGGGTTGCTTTGATACAAGTGATGAAAAATACTCAATCTTACTTGCAGTGGTTGGATCCCGTGACGATTGTGTTTGAGCGCCGTTATCTTCTTGTTGGCGTTGTTTTTGAGAAATCTTTCTCGTACCTCGTGTGTTGTCAAGGATGGTTGATGACGTTATTGCTGGTCTTTTGCAAGTTGTTGGCTATGCCAATTTTCTTCTTATTATTTCTTTCTTGTGTGGGTGGTAGGCATCCCAAATGTCTTGCTTGATATTGTACCATGAAGGTAATATTTTTATACTAATATATTATGTCAATCCAATGACAAAACAAGCACAAACACCTGCGTTATTGCTTTTCTATCAGGCGCTATCTTGCTCACTCACGGAATCTTCGATGTTGAAACTAAAGATGTTTTTTTTAGAAAAAGAGGATGATCCCCGGCCTCTGCATCTGAACGATGCATACATTTATTTTATTAATTATTCTCACAAGACCTTACAAAGCCAAACAATAGCAAGACTAAAGCCACCGTTTAAGCAACAACTGTTGCTACACCTATCCAATTGATGAAGGGGCGCAGATAGTCTGGGTCTAATAACAAACAGACATCGCAGCCAAACCTAAACATCTAAGACATGAGGTCCCAACCAGGACGCCTGCCGGGTATGGGGCACCTACCAGTCCGGCGCACTCCTCAACCAGGACGCCTGCCGGGTATGAGGCCGCCGCAGCCACCTGCCGCCAATCCATGTTCAGAGTTGTAATGTTGCATGTACCGTGCCAGGTCTCTCTGCTATCGACGCCACCACGACACCCGACAACGTCGTCCTCCTGCGCGAGTCCATCCTCCCACAGCGAACTCCGAATCTGCACTGCGCCACGCCGTCAAGATCCGTCGCCATCAGTGTGTAGGATGAATCATCACTCCACCAAAGAATCTGTCCTCTGGTCCCTTGATCACGTGTGCACCTCCAAGAATGACGCCCCCAAGGGAGGAACGACATCAGCGCGCCGTCGTCATCCGATCATCCGATCTAGGGTTTTTCCCGGAAGTAGGAGAAAGTGGCCTTCAACTTCTCCACGGCGATGCCTTCAAGAAGGGAACGACGCAGATAGCGTCGCCACCGCCAGCCTTAGCAGACGCCGAAGGCAAGTTTTCACCCAGATCAGTTCGAAGGGATCCAACTCTCGTACACGGGTCGCCGTCACCACCAGCACCACCAGGCAGAACCCTGTGGCATCGGCAGATCAGCGAGCCGCCGGCACCACCGCATCCAGATCGCCAGCCACGCCGGGCCGCCGCCATCCCCCGCGCCGTCCCGGTCAGAGAAGGAGCCGCCGACCGCGCACAGGGACCACCGCCGCCTACACACGCCGGAGGGCCGCCGAGAGCCCAGCGCCCGCCACCGCTTGCCGAGGGCCACCGCCGGGCGCCCCGAGCGGACTCCCACGCACACCAGGTGAAACCGCGAGCGTGAGCCCTGCCGTCGCCCACAAGCCCGCGCCGCCAACAACTGTCGCGATCCGCCCGCGCCAGATCCAGCGAGTCGTGGGAGAAGAGATCATGCCGCCGCCGACGCTGACCGAGCTTTGCCCGGCGGCGCGCCCCGGCGGCGGCGAGGAGGAGAGGTCGGGGGAGGGACGAGGACGCGGCGGCGCTAGGGTTCCCCCCGGCCGCCGCGCAGGGGCGACACGGGAGGAGAGGACGGGAGGATAGGACCCTTAAAAATGGGGGTGAATTTCACTTCCCCGGCCTCTGGACCAACTAGGAAAGCATACAGCCATTTTAGTATGAGTACCAAGATAAATTTGGTCCGCGATTTTTTTTAAAATGAGTATCAAGATATTTTTTGATAAGTGGTTCTACCATACACCAAACTTGATCCTCAATAAACGGGGGAGAACCCCCTGTGCATCACCTGTCAATTCTAGGAATTGAACTCGGGTCGTTAGGCTGCACAACCGCATGCCCTACCACTGATGTTGTGCTCTTTTGGTCTACTACTCTAGTTTTAGGCTTGGTGGATTTAACTGTGTGTTTCTCCCTGTTCGGGCTGAGCATCCCTTCTCTCTGCACCGGGTACCATGTGCATGCCTTCTTGTGTTCATGTCATGTGTTGTATCATCGGTTGTACTCATTGTCCTTCTATCTATCAATAAAAAGATACGCAACCTTTGCGTCTTCGTGAAAAAGATAGAAAAGCAAATAAGGTTGCGCACGAGCTTACTAGGTTGGCTAGATTTCTTTTATTGTTGATTGGTTTGAGGAGCCTATGAATCTCTCTGCAAAAAAAGAAAAGAGCCTATGAATCAAATTGTACCATTCCTCACAAACGATGCACTCCCTCTGTCTCATAATTTAAGACGTTTTTGACACTAGTGCGTCTTATATTATAGGACGGAGTAGTATCTGTTATTTCTGTTTTTTTTGGTTCATATGTTATTTCAAAAAACAAAAAGCCCTTTGATGTCCGGTGTCCACTCGAACAATACATTTTGACAGACTAGACATTTTGCAATGCAACAACCGAGAGCAGCCAATTTAAAAACAAAAGTTCGATATGTTCTTTCTTGTACCATATCATATCCTCTGGTGGGTGATATCCAAAGCCAGATAGATGGCTAATGGGGTCTTGCGCGCGCAGCACCATGAAACACGGACAAGACTAGCTCAGTAGCTAGTTCCATCACGCTCGATTGACACAAGACCGGATTGTAGATCTGCAGTCAGCGAGAGGTCGACCCGGACAGGATTGCGGATTGCCATCAGCGCCACAGGTCAGACGCACCCTGCCTCGATCGCACTATAAAATATATCGCGCGTTATTATTGCCCACTTTGTTCAGATATCCTAGGTTGTCACTTTTGATCATGACAAGCTTACGGGAATAAACATTTGCTTATATATTCCGCGAGTTATATATGACCAAGGTGTCATTGATAACTAAAATCAATGTTCTACTGGCTTTCATTTTTTTTATTTTTCAGAAAAGGAGGATTACCCCGGCAGAGCGACGCATGTAGCCCCTTTATTAAACAAAGTATCCGAAAAGTTTGAGATCAACAACAAGCTCGCTCAGAGCTAAAGAACTTACAAAAAAGCTAAAGAACTTACAAAAAATTAAAAAATGCCACAACCGGCGAAAATAAGATGAGATGACTAAACACTTATCCTATTACCGAAACGTCATCCAAATTGGTTATAGATATTCCGAGCCATCATCTCTCATCGGACAGGCTAGTAACCAAAGTCTCTCTGGCTTTCACAGTAGTGAGTAACGACCACATATGGATCCAAGCAGTAGCCCTATACATAACCTTAGGGGGAGGTCCTATTGGGAAGGAAATGCTGAAGGCAAACAAAATTCATGTCCAGAAACACTGATCAAATAAAAGGAATAACAAATTCTACTAGCTTTCATCGTGATGTTCAAGAAGAAGCGGATAGTGGCCACACCGTCAACCTTTTCGTCTACAAGCATCCGTTTAGATACACGTACCCTCGCCCTTGTTGCCCGGGATGGGAAGCGGATTTAGGGCACGCAAGTGCGGAGGCACCGAGTCCCCGCACCTGTTTTATTTGATTTTTATTTTTATATCTTTTGAACGAACATTTCAAATAAAATTTGGTTTTCATATTCGTGTTTCTCGCAACGAGGGCTTTTAAATAAGACCCATTTTAAATATGTTTTGATGACTTTTAAAATAAATGTTAAGTTTCAACTCATAAAACTTAGTAATTTCAGATAAGAAGTCATAAGTTTCAATGACTAAAACTTAAAACTTATTGTGTCCTCATGCGTGATTCAACTATTTTGCGAATTGCGCGGCAATCAAGCAGTCGTACATGGCTTGGCAGGTGCGTGACCCTGTGAATTTCTGGGATGCACCCACACACTTTACTTTATGGCGCTTTTAAGAGACCGATCCAATAAATCTTAAAATTGATAAAGTCACCGCATGAGCCTTGTAGGCGACTGGGACATTGTTTCCCCCTAAGCGAACATAGGGGGGAAGACAGGGCAATATTCAAGAAAATGTGGACACATGTGCCAAGTATAGAACGAAAATCTGAGTGGGTTAGGTTCCAACTTGACCTTCTAAGCTATGCTCAGTTTGCAGCCATATTCTTGAAATAGGCTTTCACCCTACTTTATATATAAGGTAACAACCAAACAAAGTACACGTCAGAACAATACAACATGATGACGTAGCCCTTTCATACAACGCTGATCCCAGGATAATTGGATCACACAGAACACAAGCGACTACGCTACCGAAAGAGAACATATGGATAACTGGGTACAATGGCACACTACACCCTATAACACCTAAGCTTCGCAACAACACCCTAGGGAGGGAGAACGGCTCTAAGAGTCGTTGTTCTCGAGTCTAAAATGGACAAGGTTCTGCACCCAGAGCCCTGGCACGAAGAGGAGCACCACGACGATGTCTTCGAGAAGAGTGTGGCACCCGTGAGCATCGCCGTCGTCGGCGACAACAAGCAAAGCTTTCGCTCGGAAGCTCCCCCGTGCCACCATGAGGTCTCTAGGACAAGCGCGATGAGACCTGCTCCCTAGGTCCAGATCGGGGCATCACTATTGCCAATGACAGAGAGCGCGCCTAAGCCACCCGCCACTACACCTCTCGCCACCTACACGACCAAGAGGGAAAGTGATACGTCTCCAATGTATCTATATATTTTTTATTTTTCCATACTATTATAGTATCAATCTTGGATGTTTATTATGCAATTATATATCATTTTCTGGGACTAACCTATTAACCTAGTGCCCATTGTCAGTTGCTGTTTTTTTACTTGTTTT